GAAATTAGTAAGAACTTTGTTTTTTCATCAATATAGAGTATATTTCTCCTTTTATTTTCTGTCTGAAATTAGTGAGATTGACAGGCAGTCTGGTTCAAATGTTTATTTACTAAATGTGATTTCATTTTCTATTCTGATTATGGGATTTGTGTAGGTTATGATTGATTTCAATAGAGACTGAATCACCAATCTACATCAGTTAGAAATAACTGAAAACCAGAGAGCACTGGATAAACATTTCGTCCTATTTCGGCCACATTCAGCACCATGCACCCAAAAAATTACATTAGAGATCGAAGTCAAGGGGACTGAACTGTTTCCAATCATCTCTAGCTGACGTTGATTCGGTGGGAAATCTATTTGGAGGTTAATATAAATCCCTACAAAATACGCATAATTTAAATATAATTCTGCAAGTGATTGATGACTACAGGCGTGGATTTCGTGAAGCTGTGTAGCGAAGTCATAAACAGTGGGGTTGAGTGTGTCAAGGAGAAGTGTATGGTCATTGGAAGCGTTGGGTAGGAGGTAGAACCACATCGCGAATTGACAGAGTAATTATCCACAGGTCATTGAACTCCGGTCGAAGTAAGTGAACTGTCTGTGAGCTTGATCGTGTAAGTTGAAGGTACCGGGTGCGGTATGTAGTGGATTCGTGGATGTGCACTGTCCTAAAGAGTCCCCGAAAAATAGAATGCGATAGCATGTATATTGCTCCCATGTTCTCAATGACCTGTCTAGGTGATATTATTACTTCTTGACGAAATCTAACAGTGTTGTATTCTATTTATCAAACTGATCTAATTGCTACAGATAGTAAAAGAGAGCCACGGGTTAGTTGAATTTCTAATTGACCGATGACGTCTTTCTATCTGAAAAAAGATAGTTTATTCACACTACACTTTCCTCTCGTATATGACTACATGGTGACTAGAAGTGTATTCATCATATGTGGCCGATTCAGTCTATATTAGACTGATTCTGACTTTCTTAATCTCTGATTTTAATGTGTTGTTTTTAGTTTGGGGTTTCTTTTTCATAGTAGACATTTAAGGGACTGACCAGATTATTGCTAATTCTTTTCAAGTGTTGGTTTGTAGGGATTTGATTGGTTTCAGGATTTCATCATGAGCTGACATTTGTTAGAGAACCATTGGAAAATCTGGGAGTACTGGACAGCTGTTTCGTCCTAGTTTGGGACTCCTCAGCAGTACACACCCACCGGGATTCGAACCCAGGACCTTCCGGTTACAAGGCGAGCTCGTATACCATTAAGCCACTGGGACCCGATCCAATGGTCCTTGGATTCTAACTTCTGCCAATTCACGAAATAGCGCGACCGCTAGCCAATGTCTTCGGCGAGTATTTGTCCTCACACCCGACCAGCTGCACCCTACTGGTCACGACTTCCCGCTGGAACCCAGGTAACTACCTACCTGAATAGGGCCAGTCGCCAGTGAGCATCTCATTGGTTTTCAAGTGTTGGTTTGTAGGGATTTGATTGGTTTGATTTCAGGATTTCATCAAATATTGCTAATTCTTTTTGTTCTACCCCATCATTGTATGTGGGGATTTTTCTCCATTCATATCTCTGTTATCTATGCACCACCTGTTCCTATTAATAAACAGAAAGAATGGTTGGTTGTCTTTCTTCATTCATCGTTCATTTTCGTGGGATTGTTAAGTTAAGTTAAATAAAATAAATTTTTTTTTAAAAAATAAGAAAAACTACCCATTCAATCCTACTATGACTTTATTGACATTCTCTCCATTCATACTCGATTTAAATGTACAGTGATAATTAATCAACAGTCTCTAAGGCAGTGAACATACATGTGTGTTGATATATTTTTTATGCCATGGTTAACGTATTTTTACTTAGGTGTGTATCAGTGAAACAGTTTAGTTCTGAAATCTTAAAATTTCATTTTATTTTTTCTGTTACATCAAGGCGAACTTAGAGTTATACAACTTTCCATGTAGTTTCCTATTCAACCTTTTTTGAAGTTTGATCACAGGTTGATATCAGTTAGAGGGGAGCATTGAAAGCAAGAAGGCAACAGATAGCTGTTTCATCCTAGTCTGTGACTCATCGACGTTACGCACCAACCACCACCAGAGTTTGAACCCGGGACCTCCCGAAAAATTTATTAGTTTCTGGTTACAGGACGACGTTGCCTGGACTTCTAGGGGAGAAATCGTGACCAGTGGAGTCCGTCCGGTCGGGAAGGAGAAAAAATCACTCGCTGATGATATTGGCTGGTGTCAGCCGCGCTAAAATCCTCGGAATGATAGGAGTTAGAATTCATGGCCAACTGAATCATGTCTCAGTGGCTGAATGGTCTACACGCTCGACTTTCAAACTCAGGGTTATAGCCATGGTGCCTGGTGGTGAGTACTGGAAACGATTCTCCAACTAGCACAAAACACCTGTCCAGTACTCCCTGGTGGATTTAGATGGTCTTCAAACTGATTTTAATCTATGGTCAAACTTGAATTAAATCAAATCACCACTAACTAAATCTTGAAAATGTAAAGGGCTTTTACCTAAACTGTTATACTTTTCATTTCTATTATTTTCTCTACAACTGGAGTTCTGAGTTTCCATTTATGACATAGTTGCGGTAGGGCATATAATTCCCCGAAATTCACGGTCTATCTGTACTTCAGTCACCACTGGATGCTGACCTCCAATGCTTAACTCGCCTTGTCAAACTGAAGAAACCCATCAAGCATGCTCACTGCCAGGAACGTTATCATGTTACATTCGGTCGTCTGAACACACTGTTCACAAGCTAGTTTGGCAATCATCATCCTTACGCAGTCTTTTTAATCTCAAAAATGTATCTCTCATTTTGAACGACCAATTTGGAGTTCCCATTTATTTTTGATGCAAGTAGAACAATTTATTTTGGAATTACAGAGTAAACATTTGCTTTTATGTACAATGTATCTTGCGTAATCGTCAGCACACACCACACCTAGGAAATATCCTTTTTCGACTGGTCAGATAAATTTCATCTTCTACCTGCTTGATATAGTATGGCTAAACACAGTAGTCGTTCGTGTTAAATAAAGTGGATAGAGACACATTCTGTGACCAACTCTCTTTTCCTGTAATTTGTACTAAGTACATACCTCCAAAGGTATTTCTCTCATCTTGAGATTCACCAATCTCCGATAAAAGGAGACTGTGATGGACTGCATTATATGTCTGATATGTATCCACATGATGTGTTTTGTTTTTGACAGTCTGTTATATTTTGCTATGTGTAAATGGATCGATATTTCATTATAACTGACAATATGCTTTTGTCTGTCCACTAACTAAATAAATCATGTATGACCTTGTTATCACATGACATTACAACCAATCATGGTAAGACTGTCTGTCTATTGCTTCATGTCTATTGGTCATTTTCATATATGCTTTTGTATTAGACACTTAATCATACTTGTTCCCACGTTTCGTACACTACGTATCATTTCACTCACACTCTTGTGTGACATTTATTTTCCTTGTGTCTAGAAAATACAAATATAAGCGTAAACCTAGTGGTCTTCTGATATCTCTGTTTCCGCGTCAGGACTATTAAACACTTGACGAGTACATAACATTGTCCGACCGATTACAAAAAGCGAGAAGACAGGAATAAACTGCACCGATTTAAAGACTCCAGAAGATCTAGATTTCGCGGGCGATTTACCCTTACTGTCACACTGACTCGAAGATTCACACGAGAATACCAATAAACTGGCAGAAGAGGCAGGCAGAGAACACACGACTCCAAGCGAACACACAGAAGATGCAGAGGTGGTGACGACAAACAATCATTGAACCAATCAGCCAACCAACCAACCAACCAACCAACGAAGCAACTAACCAACCACCGAACAAACAGCAACAACAACAACAACAAAGACAAGCAACACCAATCACCATCAACGGGAGAAGTTTGATAGAGGTCACTTCCTCACTTCACTTAGCTAGGAAGCACTCTCTCAACTACAGAACAACCATACGACACGGATATAGATGGCGAAGCCAGCCAGCCAGCCAGCCAGCCAGACAGACAGAAAGGATAGGAAAGGCGAGGCGAGGCGAGGCGGAACACCTTCATCACTCTCAAATCAGTTGACAAGCACTTCTCTTCTATACTCATCAGCCCCATAAACAACAACATCCGGATTCTCAACACCAATGTTTAGCCAGTCAATCAGTCAGTCAATCAATCAATTAGTGATTCTATGTGGGGTGGTCAGAAACGCGGCCAATGTCCGTCACAAAAAGCATTTTCAACACGCCATCACACACTTTCACGAGTTTCTGCCTGTGCTCCATATCGAGCCTCAAGTGGTCAGTCACAAAGTATTAACAACAAGAGACTGTGGGAACCAACTGACCGAGAACCGATCTTCCAGCAAATATGCGGAAGAAGAAGAAAGTCGAGATGGTGGATTGGACACACGCTGGCCGAGGAGACCGTCGAATGATATGGCGTGATAGGCGATTTCTAGAGTGGATGATCAATGGGAAACGACGAGTTCGTCATGTGTCCGAGAATGACATAGACGAGGGGGTGGTGTGAGTTGAGGGGAGATGAGAGACTATGTGTCATTGTGTGCGTGTGTGTGTGTACGTGTGACCAGTGATAGAGGAGGACGGAGAAGTGGAAAAAGTGGATAGATAGATAGATAGATGGTGGTGAATGCGTATGTTTCAATTGGAACTGAACGCAAAAATGACACTAACACTTCTCAGGACAGTCTTTCACTTCACTAAATACTTTTACATGACACAGCCTATTACTTTAGGCATCCAGTAGTAGGTGAATAGTTAGGTCATCTATTGGCGGATGGCTGTTACAGTGTTTATTCGCGGTGAATCTGTACATGTTACTACTAAGCTTTGTTCTTTAATAATCGTTTATTTCTGTTGACTGTGTAATTGTGAGTAATATGAATAATGATAACTCGTTTTATTCTCTTGCGTTTAACAGGTGAATCAACCTCTTTGGAAGCGCAAAACGTTATTGAAACTGTGTCTGTTTCAAACCATTACTCAGATTGTGATGACAGAATAGCTGGGGATTCAAACGACACGCATATTGCAATAGATGCATTATTTGATGCAATTAGGTATCGCGATGCTCAAGTAAAACTTGAGCAAGCTGAAAAAACTATTACTGATTTGATTATGAAGTTTTCTGAACCCCAAGATTGCTCAACACCTATTGATCTGAGTGTACGGAGCTCTAGACGTGATGAAAAGGGCAGTGACTCAGTCGAAGCAAACTCTCCCAGTGACGTTGTTACCCAATCCTCTCTATTGCCAATTTTGAATCTATTGAAAAGCCAATCAGATCCTAAGATATCTTTAGATTTGTACAAATCAAGCTCTTATGGAAAGCAATTGTATGATCTCTACAGTCCATGTTTATATGATATTCTAAGGGTTAGAGAAAAGGTTAGTGAAGTTTTATGTAATTATCTTTTGCACTTTTCGTTTCAGTCCTGTATGTTAAGAAGGAAAACTCTAAAATTCAATTTCTCAATTTTGTTGACATTTACTACAACACTGATTCACTAACTTTGATCGGTTCTTGCGGTCGGGTTTACTCCAGCTGCACTAGATATCGTTCGGTTGAGGTGTTTTACTCTGCGTTTATGAATTCATAACGTGTTTCTCACTAACAAACATACATTTTCATAGGGTGACTAATTTTTGTGGCCCTCTAGCACTTCTTTGTCCAGTGTAGTTTCATTAAATTTACATTTTCTGCTAAAATGTGTGCTTCTGTGGACTATGGCAATTTTAGCTCATGCAGTCTTGTGCATAGTTCCACTTTGCCTCGTTAGTAAGTCTGCTGCAACAAGTTGTGATATCTACGTTTCACATATGCGAAAATTGTTTTAACCTGGCAAACTGATCAGTTTTCGCTGTTGGTCAAATGTCGTAGCTTGCTTGGAATACAGCACACAATCTTCATCCTAATCATGAGGTGAACTTTATCACTATTATTATCATTTTAATCTAACCAGCTGATACCATAGGAATACTGATTTGAGGTGATATCAGCATCTTGGATAGAGCAAGCCTAGTTATAGTGAAGTGATAGAGATTAGTATTTCCACAAAGAGAGATACACCGAGTAATATCAATCTCAGCAGGGATCTAGTTATTCAGGTTGAATGGATCTTTCACTTGATGAGGGATTGAATCACTTATGTTGACTATTTCCCGCATTCTGAATAAATAATTATGTTCATGACGCTTTCAGAGAAATGTCTACTCACCGAGGTATTTTGGTGGCGTTTTCGCTACTGTCTAATTGACCAAGAAATGTGCCAACCAAAAGTTGTTTTCGAAACTGTTAAAATGAAAATAAGAAGGCTGGAATCGAATAAGGTTTAACTGTACACCTGTTGTTATGCAACGAATAGTAATAGTAGTCTGAGCAGGACGTTCATCTGTGGTTCAGTGGGAGAATACTAGCCAACCACACTTAATGTACTCCGTCGATTGATACCCAGTTGACGAACTTCTGAACCTAGCCGGTAGTAACCTCGGTCAAAGATGCGCTAGCAAACCCACCACTGCTACACAGACTTGAAAGCTCAAGCTTCAAATCATATGCTTGGCTTCGAACGTAAACGAATAAAAGATGATGATAAAGTAATGTCAGCTGATCACGATACACACTGCTTACTGCATTCCTTTAGGTCACCGAAAATATGTTTACGTTGAGAAGAAAATGAAGGGCTGACGAAACAAAGAGTAGTATATTAACCCATGACATGACTAATTATTGATTTCAGTTCCATATGGTCTTATAAGTTGTGTCAACCAAGAATCGTTAGGATGACAAATGAAAATAAATCTCTAGAAATTTCACTACTCCTACTAAGACAGCCACTAGTTTCCATTCTCTCGAAAAGTCTACCCCTCCTGAATCCAGAATAAGTGAACGCGAATCAGAAGAGTACGAAAAGGACGTGGAAAAGACGGTGACGAATTTGCAGTCGAATGATGAAAGTACTGACATTGGTCAATGTACAAGCCAGAACCACTACAGCAATCCTCTAGATTGCCCATTATGTTTGTTGTCTTTTGTATGTGAAGTAAAGCAGTGTAGTGAAGAAAAACTCAGGCAAGAATCTCTGATGTCATCTGAGCTGAGTGATTCAGTTATTGCTAATACAATTGAATTAGTAAGTTACAGGTGTTTGCTGTTAGTTATTGTTGTTGTTGTTGTTCCGTTCAGTTCCAATTGAAACATACGCATTCACCACCATCTATCTATCTATCCACTTTTTCCACTTCTCCGTCCTCCTCTATCACTGGTCACACGTACACACACACACGCACACAATGACACATAGTCTCTCATCTCCCCCTCAACCCACACCACCCCCTCGTCTATGTCATTCTCGGACACATGACGAACTCGTCGTTTCCCATTGATCATCCACTCTAGAAATCGCCTATCACGCCATATCATTCGACGGTCTCCTCGGCCCGCGTGTGTCCAATCCACCATCTCGACTTTCTTCTTCTTCCGCATATTTGCTGGAAGATCGGTTCTCGGTCAGTTGGTTCCCACAGTCTCTTGTTGTTAATACTTTGTGACTGACCACTTGAGGCTCGATATGGAGCACAGGCAGAAACTCGTGAAAGTGTGTGATGGCGTGTTGAAAATGCTTTTTGTGACGGACATTGGCCGCGTTTCTGACCACCCCACATAGAATCACTAATTGATTGATTGACTGACTGATTGACTGGCTAAACATTGGTGTTGAGAATCCGGATGTTGTTGTTTATGGGGCTGATGAGTATAGAAGAGAAGTGCTTGTCAACTGATTTGAGAGTGATGAAGGTGTTCCGCCTCGCCTCGCCTCGCCTTTCCTATCCTTTCTGTCTGTCTGGCTGGCTGGCTGGCTGGCTGGCTTCGCCATCTATATCCGTGTCGTGTGGTTGTTCTGTAGTTGAGAGAGTGCTTCCTAGCTAAGTGAAGTGAGGAAGTGACCTCTATCAAACTTCTCCCGTTGATGGTGATTGGTGTTGCTTGTCTTTGTTGTTGTTGTTGTTGCTGTTTGTTCGGTGGTTGGTTAGTTGCTTCGTTGGTTGGCTGATTGGTTCAATGATTGTTTGTCGTCACCACCTCTGCATCTTCTGTGTGTTCGCTTGGAGTCGTGTGTTCTCTGCCTGCCTCTTCTGCCAGTTTATTGGTATTCTCGTGTGAATCTTCGAGTCAGTGTGACAGTAAGGGTAAATCGCCCGCGAAATCTAGATCTTCTGGAGTCTTTAAATCGGTGCAGTTTATTCCTATCTTCTCGCTGTATGTGGGCAGTGATCGTTGGCCTGTCCCTGTTTGTTTTCTTCATGGAACTTTGCATTGATTTGCGGCAGTTTGGGTCGCAACACTCGTTGTCTGACAGAAATAAGCGACGAATGTTTAAGGAATGCATGATAGAGACAGTAAACAGAAGTGTGAGACAAATAAATAGTAATAATGTGGAGCAGTGTAATTTCATTTGAAATCACCTGGCTGCATTAGTTCGAGTAGAGTGAGTTCCTTGATCAGTGTAATGTATTTTTTCGGATTCTTTTTCCGGCCAAGCGTCGCGAAGGAATCTCTCGGTTGACAGAATCGAATGCCGCTTTTAGGTCAAGAAATTTAATGATTGTTGGACGCCGTTAGGAAGGCCTATGTTCTAGAATCTGTCGGAGGGTGAAAATGTGATCAATACACCCTCTTCCTGGTCTAAAGCCTGCCTGGCTCTCTCGTGTTTGTGCCTCCCGAGCACCACCTAGTCTACGCATGATTATTGAGCCTAGGATTTTAGATACTATACTAGTCAAGCTAATCCGTCTGTGATTATCACAGGAAGATTTGTCTCCCTTCTTGTATATGGGGATAATCAGTGACGTACACCAACCCAATGGGACTTCCTCCGATTACCAGTCTCTGCTTAGTACCAGCGTACTGAAGTACCTGCTTCGCCTTGTTTCAGATTAGTGACAGCTTTAGTAACCTCAGTTAGTGACTGAGGACCTGTGTCTGTATCCTATTCAGGGAGGTGTTGGTTGTTCGGCAGGGTGAGCGTCGCTGTGGGCCAATTAAACTGCCCCTCATAGTTCTCCTTCCGGGGTTCCAGTCGTCTATCCTGGGAGCTAATTATGGTGCCATTTTTCTATGAGATTGTTTCACTTATCATTTGCCTTTTACCACCTGTTTCCATGATAATCCTAGATAGTTGTCTGGTGTTACCAATCGCCGATGCCTTTTCCATCTCTTTCGCTCTTGTCACCTACCACTGTTCACGGTCATTGTTAAGACTTCTTGTTAGCTTTTTTGAGTACCTTTCGATCCTCATCATAATTGGAGCTCGCTGGCATCAGACCTCTTGCGTCAATCAGTTCGGATAAGATGGTAGAAATCCAGTGGCTCTTTCTAACTTTTGGTTTTAGCTTATTAACAGCTTTTACAACTGTGTCTACAGCTAACTGTATGTTGTGCCAGGCTACCTCAGGGGAAGTCGCCTGCTAAAACAACTATATCTGAACGTTTTGCTTTTTGCAGCAAATTAGGCAGTTACAGGTAGAAATCGTCTTTTAGTTCATCTGAACTGCAGTCTATTGGGGGACAAGCGGCGACTGCGCAAAGGCAACGGTGAGTAGTGCCGTCTTTCCTTTTTTAACGGACCCATTCAGGCGGACCGCACACATACGACTATCTACTGGGATCTTGTCAAGAAGTGGTTTTTCTGCCGTAACACTCAGTGCTATCCGTATACCTGCGAGTCCTCGCGAGCTAGCTGAGGGGTCTCCTGACACCCTTAAAGTGAATTTTGCAGATCGTGGGTGGCTTTGTCTTACTCCTCTCTTGACTTCAGTGCCTTCATTGAGTAGTGTTGTGTTGTGGATCAGCTGACACGTGTCATTGCCATGTAGTAGCCATCTGTTTAATGAGTTTGATGACGACTTATGGCACTTCACTCCATATTGTTTGGTGTAGTTTCCAATTTACTTCATGGTCAACGCTGTCGTAGGCCTATATTGAAGTTGTTGAAATTGAGGTGGGGATTTTACTGTGCTTTCTGTGCTTTTTTGGATGATGTTGATGATGCATTGAGTTTCAAATTGTTCAAGGCATGAATTATCTTTTTTTGAATGCAGTCTGTTCGAGATGGAGTTTTGCGTGTAGATCAGTTTTTTTGTCTCCAGGATGGATGACAGGACCTTATATATTTCTTGGTGTCAACAATAGTATAGTTCTTCACGGGATTATCCAGAGCGAAAGTAGCTCTTTTTTGGTAGTTTAACAAGGAAGCCTTTTTTCCACTCAGTAGTCATCTTTTCTTCTCTTGAAACTTTTTCGCAATGAAGGCGTCGGAGTATCCGTCTTGTGTCACAGATTTATTTGTCCAGTTATTTAGTATGGCATTTTCGTATGATTTTCAATG